ATGTAAGCTCATTTACGTATCTCACTCCCGTCCTGTTATTGCTGTTGCTGTCAGTGTAGTTAGTCAGTTTATGCATGCTCCTCATCAGATTCACTTTGAGGCTGTCATGAGAATCTTGAGGTATTTGAAGTCTGCTCCTGGTAAGGGTCTGTATTTTTCAAAGTATGATCATCTTCGTGTAGAAGCCTATACAGATGCTGACTGGGCTGGGTCAGTAACTGATAGGAGATCAACTTCAGGGTATTGCACATTTGTTGGCGGCAACCTAGTTACTTGGAGGAGTAAGAAACAGAATGTGGTTGCCAGGTCAAGTGCAGAAGCTGAGTTTAGAGCTATGGCACAAGGTGTGTGTGAACTTTTATGGATCAAATTATTGTTGCGTGATCTAGGTATTGATCAGACGGATTCCATGCGGTTATACTGTGATAATAAGGCAACCATCAACATCGCTCACAATCCCGTTCAACATGACAGGACAAAACATGTTGAGATTGATCGCCACTTCATTAAAGAGAAACTCACTAGTGGTACCATTTGTACTCCTTTTGTCTAGTCTGGTGAACAACTTGCTGACATTCTCACCAAGGGAATTGGGAATAAACCATTTCATGACATATTAGGCAAGCTGGGCATGAGAGATATCTTCGCACCAACTTGAGGGGGAGTGTTAGCATATTATATTAGCCGAAAGTGTTAGCATATTATATTAGCCGAAAGTGTTAGCATATTATATTAGCCGAAAGTGTTAGCATATTATATTAGCCGAAAGTGTTAGCATATTATATTAGCCGAAAGTGTTAGCATATTATATTAGCCGAAAGTGTTAGCATATTATATTAGCCGAAAGTGTTAGCATATTATATTAGCCGAAAGTCAGTAGGGTCTGTAATCATTTTATGCCCTCAGGGATCATCTTGTAATTGTTTTCTTTGTAAACCCTAATTTTCATTTATAAATAAGGGGTGATCTTCTATCAACCCTAAGCTGGTTACCCAAGCTTCAAGACCCAATCCTATGAAGAATCTAATTTAGAAAGGAGCTTAAAGGTTAACCTTATTTCCCGCTCCTACTTCCCATCTCAGCCTGTAACCCCATCTTCTCCATAATTGTCTGTTAGCACAACCCCAATTCATATAAGTTTCACTCAGGCTACTGCTGAGATTTATTTTAGGAACCTTATGATATTTGGTAAAAACAAAATTAGTTAGCACTCAAAAGCCTTGGCCTTCCCAACTTTCCTCGTCTGAAGAGTCTTGGCTGCTGCGTAGAGCAATGTTATTGGAATGCTGTTAAAATAAGTTGTGGCAGCTAGTAAAGAACACATTTAACAAGTAATGTTGACAATAGTACTGTTGCTCCTGGGAGTGTTGGTGCAACCAGAAAAATGTGTATGAGCTTGAAAACCATAGCTTACAAAGATTTTTGTTACTTTAAAATAAAACCCCAGGTCTACCCCACTCCTCTAAATACCACTAAGACCATTCAAGTGCACGTAGTTCCCATTTGACTTTTAAATGTTCAAATGGAGAGGTTTACAACCAAATCCAACAGGCACAAACAATGAAAGATGGTTATGCAGGATATATCAGAAAAATTAAAAGACAGTTCATAAAGATTCCTTTAATGGATGTATCTGGTGGTAATTTGGGATCTAAAACACGAACTTATTCACAGTTACGAAGTTTCTAATAGTCTTTTAGCTCATATGGGATATCTCTCAAACTATAAAGAATCTGCTGACCTCCCACCTAGCATCAAATTAGCAGCACAAGGAATGCATCTAATTATAATGATAATTCTGAACTGTTCCAAAATATTTTCAAAATTTTTGTACCAACTTCTGAATCTCGAGTCTAAACTAATGTGGATTTAGATTGTAGAAAAGGAGTTGTTATCCTCAAATATGGCATATGCACTGGTTCAAGGTGAGGATTTGTAGGAAAGCTACAATGCAACATAATAATCCTCACCAATCAGTCAATAAAATAGCTAACAGGAGCTGGACAAAGTGGTGCATAGGAAGCTTAGATGCTTTCTACTTCTTTATCAAAACAATGAGTTGCTAATTCTGACAAATCCAAGGCACACACATCTCACATCAAGTTAGCATTGCACAAGCTAAAGTACACTTCACATCAGGACATTAACCCTACAGATAGCATTGAAGTGCTCTTTTTGAACCTCACATCAAGCAAGCCATGAGGCAAAAGCCTGGCATTCCTTTCAATAAATTAATTATATATATATATATATTGATAAATATATTAATTTTATATGAAAATTAATGAACGAATTTTATACGGCTGTGCATAATTTTTTCCACAATAAAAGAAAAATTATAGTATTCTATCATATATTTGTAAAGAAGGAAAAATGAACTATACAACAGTTATGTAAAAGGTCCCAAATATTGCATACCCCATTTTTATCAGCCTGAAGCTGTTCAATTGGCAGGCAAAAGAAATCAGCATCAGCACGCATTGGCCAACCCAGCCGGAAACAATCAACTGACCTGCAATTATCCCAAGATTGATTTACATTTGACAAACTGAATGCAAAAACAAAAAGAGTGAACAAAGATAAGCATGATACCAAAAGTATTCATTTAAATCATCATAGTTCCTCCATTGAGAATGCTTCAATTTCCCCCCTTTGCACCTTTTAACTTCCTGTGGAGGACAAAGAGGCAAATTCCTAAGCCATGAACCAAGGGAGAGAAAAAAAAAAAAAAAAAAATCAAAAGATCACAGTAAGAACTTTAACACAGTGAAGGAAACAAGCAGGGGCAACACCTGTTCTATCATGTTATAGATTGGAGTCACCACTTTCTTTAAGAAAGCCTCCTCCTCACCACCATATGCAGGCTTAATATGTTCACCTGTCATGGGGCTTACACTCCCAGCCAGCATACCATACAGTTCAAATGCCATCTAAAATAAACAAAGAGGGAAAATATTAAGATATAAAACAAATCAATATCACTAAGGTCAATTAAAAAAAGAACAAGAAAACACCAGAAAAAATAAATAAATAAAGTACACAAGAAGTTGGAACCATAGAACACTTCCAGTAATGGAACAGGAGAAATCTAAAACTGATGAAACCAACATTCTAGGAACAGATTTGTTAGAGAGAGAGAGAGAGAGAATCCCAAATCTAGGGATACAAAGAGCTAAAGCTCAAAATTACAATTCTAATTGTTCAAAATTAATTATTAGAGGTATCATCCTTTTATCGAGCTTTAGTGGATGGTGGGGATATGTCTTTCCTGTGGCGGAGTGCTGTTAGAATAATGAAATTATGTTAGAATAAGGAATTGTTAGAATAAGGAAATTTGTTTTATTCCTTGATTGATGTAATGAGCTGTAATGAGCTGACCAATAATTCATGCCTTATGGCACTCTTGTAATTATGCTTTAATCTTAATACAAAAGGAGATGAGGTCTCATTCCCTATCTCTTTCTCTTCTCTAAACGGTCATGGTATCAGAGCGACAATAGGAGGACCCTAACACCAATCACAGCCACCTTGCTTGTAAGGCCCCGGTGTCCCACATCGGGAATGGAGAGGGAGTTCCTGGGCTATAAAAGTAAAAACCTGGACCCTTATACAGTATCAAGGCCTTTTCCCAAGTGGTGAAACCCCTATTAGAACTCCCTAGTTAAGCGTGCTTAGGCTAGAGTAGTTCTAGGATGGGTGACCCACTGGGAAGAACAAATCCGTACGGGAGTGACCCAAAGCGGACAATATCGATGACGTATAAAGGGTCGGGGCGTTACAAATGGTATCAGAGCCGACTCTCCGGAGTACCGAGTGTGGGCCCCTGGCATCTCTCGGTGCATGTGGGCGGGCTTGTGAGCTGGCAGGCTACTGCACGGGGACGTGCAGCCTTATGGGGGGTGGATTGTAAGGCCCCAGTGTCCCACATTGAGAATGGAGGGGGAGTTCTTAGGCTATAAAAGTAAAAACCTAGACCCTTATATAGCATCGAGGCCTTTTCCCAAGTGGTGAAATCTCTATTAGAACTCCCCAGTTAAGCGTGCTTAGGCTGGAGTAGTTCTAAGATGGGTGACCCACTGGGGCGTGACCCAAAGCGGACAATATCGATGACGTATAAAGGGTCGGGGCGTTACAAATGATATCAGAGCCGACTCTCCGGAGTACCGAGTGTAGGCCCCTGGCGTCTCTCGGTGCATGTGGGCGGGCTTGTGAGCTGGCAGGCTACTGCACGGGGACGTGCAACCTTATGGGGGGTGGATTGCAAGGCCCTAGTGTCCCACATCGAGAATGGAGGGGGAGTTCCTGGGCTATAAAAGTAAAAACCTGGACCCTTATATAGCATTGAGGCCTTTTCCCAGGTGGTGAAATCCCTATTAGAACTCCCCAGTTAAGCGTATATAGGCTGGAGTAGTTCTAGGAAGGGTGACCCACTAGGAAGAACAAATCCGTACGAACGTGACCCAAAGCGGACAATATCGATGACGTATAAAGGGTCGAGGCGTTACATTGCTTCCACCGACGGTCAATCGGCTCTCTACCAAGGCAGTCGAAGCCTCCTCAGATCTTCCTTAGGTCTATCGGCAGCCCTAGCTTGACCTTATAGGTCTGTCGGCACTCCTAGAAGCTCTGTAGACTGCTTCTAGTCAACTTGGTTAGTCGACTGGTGTCTAACAAATGGACTGAACTCTTATTGTGGTACATACCTCTATAAAAGATTCTTCTCTGTTTTCTTTCTTTTAAAAAAAAAAAAAAAAAAAAAAAATCTATATGAGTTCTTAGTTTGTTATGCTTTCATATGTCAGTCACAAATCCGGAACATGACTATTTTTTTGAAGAGTAAAGGAAAGATGGGATATATTGATGAAAGGATGCAGGCACCCAGTACCACAGATCCTAGTTATGACCAGTAGGAGATCACCACTCTCTCATCATGGGTTAGTTGATACATTCTATGGTACCCGAGATTGGAGAGAGCTACTTGTTTATGGACACTGCCCAGGATATTTGGGAGGCTGTAACTACTACTTACTCCAGGAAGGGAAACTTCTCACAGGCTTTCGAGTTACGTCGCTCCATTGAAAGGTCGGTAGAAGGTGAGATGACTATTCTCCAGTATTTTACCTTAGTAATAGGTGGAAGCAGCTTGATCACCTTTAGGATTACAAGCCTGTTTGTCTCACTAATTCTGCTAGCTACCAAAAGTTTGTGGCACAAGAGCGGGTCTTCAAATTCTTGAAAGGCCTCAATGTAGAGTGTGATCCAGTACGAAACAAAGTACTTGGCATGGACGTGTTTCCTTCTCTTTAGAAAGCCTTTGCTTCTGTGCAAAATGACGAGAGTCGCCGCTCTACGATACTTCCTTCTGCCACTACTGATCGCTCGGCCTTGGTTTTTGCACCCCCTTGCGATGGAGAGCGTGTGACTCGTGGTTCTCATCCTTCCTCTAAGAAGGATAATCTTTTCTGTGACCACTACCATAGACCTCAACACACAAGAGAGACTTGTTGGAAGCTGCATGGGACTCCTCCTGATGGCTGAGGAGACCGTCCTGGTATTCGAGGGGGTAAGTCTGGTCAGTCTAGAGGTCAAGGGGCCAATACTCGGGCACATCTTTCAAATACAGTTAAGCCATCATCTTTATCTCCAATTATCTCACCTGCTGCTGATGTTTCGGGGTTATTTGCCTCAGATTTTGAGATTGCTCTTCGCCATTTGCTAGACCGTCGAGCCTCCACTTCCACCACAGGTGCATCCTCTTCTTCCTTTGCCAATTCAGGTAATTTGGCTTCCTCCTCAAGCGCATTGCTATCTCATACGACTGTGCCATGAATTATTGATTCTGTTACTTCCGACCATATGTGTGGTTCATCTCATTTGTTCTCAGAATATAACCCCTCCTCAGGTCAGGAAAAAGTGCATATTGTTGATGATACTATTTTGTCCGTGTCAGGGAAAGATTTAATTCATCCCACCTCTTCCCTTCCTTTATCCTCTGTCCTCCACATCTCCAATTTTAGTGTTGATCTTTTATCTTTGAGTCGTATTACTCATGACTTGAATTGTAGCGTGATGTTTTTTCCTGATCATTGTCTTTTTCAAGACCTTACCACGAGGAAGAGAATTGGCAGTGATAGAGAGGAACATGGTCTCTACATTCTGGATCAGACAAACAAGCTGGCTCATTCATCTATTCAGTTACCATCCACTAATGAAGACCTTTGGTTGTGGCACTATCGTTTAGGACATCCCTCCTTTTTACTACTTAAGCATTTATTTCCTTCTAGTTTTTGAGAAAAATAATGTGTCTAATTTTCAATATGAGTCTTGTCAACTTGAAAAACAACACCGAGTTTCTTTTGCTCCATCTAGTAATAAAAATTCAGTTCCATTTGCTTTGATTCATTCTGATGTAGGGGTGCTCACGTTTTGTGTCTTTAAAAGGTCAAAAATTGTTTGTTACTTTCATAAATGATTGTTCTAGGGCCACTTAGGTATATCTAATGAAAGATATGAGTGAGGTGTTTTCTGTATTTCAAAACTTTCATAAAATGGTGTGCACTCAGTTTAGAGCGATTGTCAAAATTTTGCGTTCTGATTCTGATAAAGGGGGGAATATATTGATTCTGGTCTTGCCAGTTAGTTCACCACTCATGACATTGTTCATCAAACTTCTTACACTAATACTCCTCAATAAAATTGTGTTGTCGAATGAAAAAATCGCCATCTTCCTGATGTGGCCCGTTGTCTATCCTTTGAAATGCGTGTTCCTCGACCCTATTGGGGGGGGGGGAAGCGGTCCTCACTTCAGCTCATTTGATTAATCGTCTTCCTACCCAAGTTCTTCAAAAACAAACCCCTCTTCAAGTTTTATCCAGGTCCCCCTCTTCTAGGCTCTCCATTCCACCTAAGACCTTTGGCTATGTTTGTTTTGTCCATAATCATTCATCCAACCGTGGTAAATTGGATCCTAGGTCTCCTAAGTGTGTTTTTTTAGGTTGTTCTGCTACTCAAAAGGGTTATAAGTGTTATCATCCTCCTACTCGTAAATGGTTCGTCTCTATAGATGTCACCTTCTTTGAGTCTCAGTCTTACTTTCTACCTTCCCTATTGTCACAATCATCCCTTTAAGGGGAGCCTTGGTGTGCAGAGATTCATGTTCCACTACCGCCAGTGGTTGAACAAATAGAGGATGATGAGCCCGCCATTGTTGTGGAAAATGAAGTAGGCAAAGAGACAAAGATAGACAAAGAGACAAAGATAGACAGAAAGTCACCTGGATGCAAGAAGCTATTTCCTCTCCTCTATTGCTAACTTCTTCTCCGGATGAGTGTCCAGAGTCAACCCCCTCTCCTGAAAGTCGAGGTAATTCTAATGCTTCTACTCTTGAGTTTTCAGATCTTGATGTTTCCATTGCTAATAGGAAGGGAGTTAGGTCATATACTCAGCATCCTATTACTAATCATATTTTTTATTCTAATCTATCTCCCTCATATAAAGCCTTTCTGTCTAAGATTTTCTCTGTGAGTACACCTAACAACTTTCAAGATGCTCTCTCTATTCCTGAATGGAAACATGCCATGATGGAGGAGATGTGAGCTCTCAGCAAGAATGGCACTTGGGAGTTAGTAGAGTTACCTAGAAGAAAAAATCTAGTTGGGTATAAGTGGGTATACATTGTAAAACACAAAGCAGACGGTTCCATAAAATGGTACAAAGCAAGACTGGTTGCTAAGGGCTTTACTCAGACTTATGAGGTAGATTACCAGGAGATATTTGCACTGGTTGCTAAGATAAACTCTGTGAGAATACTTTGGATTGGCCACTTCATCAATTTGATGTGAAGAATGACTTCCTTCATGGAGACGTCGAAAAGAGGTCTATATGGATATTTCTCCTGGTTTTACTGGTGCTAAGTCCGAAGGTAAAATGTGTAGGCTCCAGAAATCACTTTATGGGCTAAAACAATCTCCTAGGGCTTGGTTTGAAAGGTTTGCTTAAGCTATACTGAGATATGGGTTCAAGCAAAGTCAAGCAGATAACACATTCTCATGGTAAGACCATAGCTCTTATTGTTTATGTTGATGATATTATTCTGACAGAGATGATATTGAGGAGATCCCTCGGTTAAAGAAATACTTAGCCAAGGAGTTTGAAATCAAAGACTTGGGTAATTTGAAGTATTTCTTAGGCATTGAAGCAACTAGGTCCAAGGATGGCATCTTTATATGCCAAAGGAAGTATGTACTTGACTTGCTAAAGGAAACTGGGATGCTTGGAGGTAGACCATGTAATACACCTCTAGAACCGGGCCAGAAACTAAGTGAGGATCAAGGGAGAAAGCCAATGGACGGGGAGATATCAGAGACTAGTGGGCAAGCTTATATACTTATCTCACTCGCGTCCAGATATTGCCATTGCAGTAAGCATGGTTAGCCAATTTATGCATGCTTCTAGAACTTCCCACCTAGAGGCAGTAATGAGAATTCTGAGGTACCTAAAGACTTCACCTGGAAAGGGTCTGTATTTCTCGAAACATGGACATCTCGATGTGGAAGCATTTGCTGATGCAGATTAGGCTAGATCAGTCACTGGCAAACGATCAGCCTCTAGATATTACACATTTGTTAGAAGCAACCTTGTCACATAGCGAAATAAGAAACAAAATGTGATTTCTAGATTTAGTGCTGAGGTAGAATTCAGGGCCATAGCACAGGGTGTATGTGAGTTGCTATGGATTAGACTATTGTTAGGAGACTTCGGGATCCATCAGACTAATTCTATGAGATTGTACTGTGACAACAAGGCAGCGATCAACATAGCTCATAACCCAGTTCAACATGACAAAACCAAACATGTGGAGATTGATAGGCACTTCATCAAGGAAAAGCTCACTAGTGGCACCATATGTACTCCATTTGTGAAGACTGAAGATCAACTAGCAGATGTTCTCACCAAACGAATAGGGAGCAAACCATTTCATGACATTCTTAACAAACTGGGCATAAGAGATATGTTCGCACCAGCTTGAGAGGGAGTGTTAGAATAAGGAAATTATGTTAGAATAAGGAAATTTGTTTTATTCCTTGATTGATGTAATGGGCTGTAATGAGCTGGCCCATAATTCATCCCTTATGGCACTCCTATAATTATTCTTTAATCTTAATATACCTTATGGCACTCCTATAATTTTTCTTTAATCTTAATACACCTTATGGCACACATGTAATTATGCTTTAATCTTAATATAAAAGGGGATGAGGTCTCACTCATTCCCTATCTCTTTCTCTTCTCTAAACTTTCGAGTGTGTGGATTGCTGGAGTTCCATCCAAAGTGGTGTACTTTGTATGGACGACGATGCCAGATAGGATTTTGACTTTGGACAATCTCATTTGGCATCGGCGGATTGTGGCTAATTGGTGTTGCATGTATTGCAGGGATGCGAAATCTACTTCCCATCTTTTACTTCATTACCCTGCTGCGTATTAGCTTTGGGGGTTGATTTTCTCAATGTTTGGTTGAAGAGGGTGGAGGATGTTCTTTGTAGTTAAAGAGGGGGCAAGGTTGGGAAAAGGCGTCAAAAGGCTTGGGAGCTAGCTTCATTGTGTCTGATGTGGTTGATTTGGCTGGAGCGTAATAGGCAGATTTGCCTGGAGCGTAATAGGCAGATTTTTCAAGTGACGGCGGTTCCAATGCCTATTTTGAAAAATGGATTTTTGGCGGTTTTATATGTATGGGTTTTGGGGAAAGTGGCTCCGGGGTTTGTTTTCTTTTGTGGATTTATAGATGCTCTATTTGTCTAGGAATGAGTGTTGATTGGTGGTGGGTGTATTTGTTAGCATCATCTTGATGCTCTTTGTTTAATAAAATTTACTTTTATTTATCAAAAAAAGAAAAAAAAAAAACCCCACCTTATACGAAAAAGACAACTAACCACTTAGGAAAACCCATGTATAGCTGGTCAATCTAAAACGCCAACAACTCTAAATTTCCAAATTGCCTTTAATTCTAGTGCTAGAGTTATTTTAGATTTCAACTATATATAATTTGAATCAAGATATTGGATTTTTGCATGCAACATTCTACTATTGCTCTATTACTTTTAAGGTATCAGGACGTGTTCAGTTTGAGTGTGTGTGTAGACAGATCTATACTACATCCACTGATCCTCCCAAAATTAAATCTTTTTCCTCCAGAGTGATTGTGTATATGAGAAGCTACGTTTTCCAGAATATTCAGTTTGAATCATTAGAATAATATCATGATATATGTCAGAAAATAGTAAGGGAATCCAAAAAAAAAAAAGGGAAAGGCAATACTATAAACAAGTTTGCCATATTGAAATCAAAGAGCAGCATCTTAATGCATACATGATGATAAATATAGCATAGGCATTCTGGCATAAATCTCAAGTTAGCAGCTTCCCCCCATATGAGAAGATATAGCCCCATGTACAGTAATTTCCGTTGCTGCACTTCCTGTTGAATAGTTGGCAACCTGCAAGTGTAGATTAACCACAACATACAACAATGATGAATTAAAAAAAGTTTTAAGTTAACCTACAAGTCAATGTTTGATTAGCAAGAAGGAAAATGAGAGACATATGGATAATGGAGGAAGAAGTCATTCTTAATCAGAATATAATTATTCCACTAAGCCATAAAAATGATAAAAAAATAAAAATAAGAAAGTAAAAATCTCAACTCACCAAAGACTACTTTTGCGACCCAAATAGTTGCACCATTTTTTGTAGTTTTTGAAAAGTTTCTTCATAACTTCTGTAAGTGCAGTGTCATCCAACTGAACATGAATGAGGTATATGTTATGAATAACTAAGTGTTTTTTTACAAAATAAAATATTATGAGCCAGCCCTATTTGTGAGCAGAATACCCTGGGCTGCTGATCAGGCTGAAATCGCCGAATATGCACATTTGCCAGCAACAGTATTAAGTGCTCCCTCTGATTTGCCACATTATCCTTCTGCAGATCAATAGTTAAAGAAACAGATCCCCATCAAGACTCAAATGAAAAGAAGTGATCGAAAGCAACAAGAAAGTCACCTGAAATCCAAACATAGCCTGAAGCCAGTGTAGAATGTCTTCATCTACTTTCTTCTTGTGGCCCTTGGGCCATGGCAACCCTCTGGTGTTTCGAAGTGCAGAAACAGAAGCTTGAATCTGTAAATTAAACAACCAAGGTATAAAAAAGGTACTTTAAAGATATAATTGAAAAAGGTCAAGAACACTACTCTAGATATTCAAAAACTAACCTCAGGATATTTCATGATTGCTTGATTTGAGCTGTCAGGATCAAGAGGAAGTATGTTATAAGGTACATATATCGCAGTCTTTTCCTCAACCTTACTGTGAGCTTCCAAAATCTACATGCATATGTATGTCTAATTATTATTTTTTTATTTTAAAAAAAATATATATATATATATATATAAACAAAACAAACAAAAAACTAGATACATCAATACTCAATATGAAAGAAGACTACAAGAAGCACATCAAAATTCTAAATAGAAGTGGGTTAGTCTTGGCCTAGACAAAACTGATACAAGAAGTTCCCTCGAGGGACTGATATTATTCAAATATCACCAATCAAAAAACTATCAGTTTCACCTCATCAGCCACTTCAAGAGATTCTGTCAGATTAACAGCCTTCAAAACCTCAAATAGAACAGCAGCAGTTTGATATGCTTTTGTAAGCCGAGCACTGCATTAGACAAAAAAACAAAACAAAAAAAAACAACAATTTCCTATCAAATAAAGCATGAGGCAATAAGGTCACATCTCCAAGCAGACAATCAGAGGGTGCCCATTGATAATTTACCGATCCGCTTTATCAGCAGCATTCTGCAAAGCCTGGATGTATTTTTTGTAGTAATGCTGATAAAAACTCTGCATTTCACGAGCATCACTTTTTGTCCTTCCTGCTAATGTCGTTTCATTTTCCTGAAAGAAGAATGGTTCGATCATTATTTTTATTGGTGAAACTTTAAGGCCTCATTTGGGAAGGTAAGTTTTTAGCAAAAAAGCCACCACAAATTGTCAAGCCAATCTCTCTACTTTTTTGCATATCTTTTTGTAAAAAGCCGAAAAAATTCGAAAAAAGCCAATTCCCAAACACCCCCTAAATGAAGATCGTACAGAACAAAGGGGAAAGTGTGTGGTAATACAGCAGATACATGTACAGAACAACGGGAAAGTGTGCGGTAATACAGCAGATACACGTTAGTGGTTCAAGACAATTTATTTTTTTGGCTCACAGAACAGAATAATTAACCATTTAATATATTTATATGTGAGACTGTCACTTAACACACCCCCAATAGTGCATGCGACGGTGTTTCAGTTCATGCATTCCATGTGTTAGACTTCTCTCTCTCTCTCTCTCACACACACACGAGCTTGAACCCTCAGCCTGGGTTGCTAAATTACATTCAAATTCAAAATAGAAGGGTTGATGACACCACATCAACTTGGAGCTAAATATACAGTTCACACTACCTTTAATGGCACTTAATACTTGAATATGTCACTAAAAGGAAGAGACACTTGTAATTGCAGAAGGGACAAAACTTGCCACATATAATACCATGTAAGCCCGTGAGCCTCACTGAACCAAGGAATATAATTGTACAAACTTGGCTTGTTTCTTTGTCAATCAGAAAATTTACGATTGCGATCGCCTTTTTCATAGCGAGCGAGGTTGAGCAAGCTATTAAACAAACCAAAGCCTAGCTACTTGCAACCGGGCTCAGTTCGTTTAACAGCTGTATAGTCCTTTTCGGGCGTACCAAAGAAAATAGAGCATACCAGCATTTAAATGATGACAAATTTTATATCATCATACCACTGACATAAATATACAGAGATATATCAGTGAAGAGATGAAGAAACAAACAGAAAGAAAACAAATTCTTCATCAATAACAAATCATTTAGACACAACCAAAAAACATGTCACTGTTTATGCTTTTCCCATATATTTACTAAAATATCCATCTTCATCAATAACAAATCATTTTAGACACAACCAAAAAACATGTCACTGTTTATGCTTTTCCCATATATTAACTAAAATATCCATCTTCCAGCCACATAGGACAAATTCCAACACACCCTCCTGGACCAAGACATAAAGTAGCCAGACAAATGACACACCAGTCACAGGCCCAACCAAGCACTAGTCCCAAATTGAAAAGCCCAGCTCACACTTCTCCTTAAAACCCTAGTATTAAGGAGAGGGAAACTGGAGCCTTATAACCAGCACAGATGGGGCAACTCTAAGCTATGTGAGACACATTCCAACAATGTCCAGAATGATAGCTGTAAAAAATATGTGAAAGTAAACTTAGCTCTCTAGTATAATAAGCCAGGAACAAAATTTTCTTTTGTTTCCATCAAAACAGCTAAAAAGCTTCCGTTTCCTAAGGAACCGAAATGAAAAAGTAGTAGAATAATGAAATTCTAGCGTTTCCACCTAGAGACAGCAGAACATCGAGGCAGCATCAAGTCCCAACAAAACATAGGAAGAAGTACGTTGTGTGAACACGAATTTGGAATCCCTCAAACGGTTTATACTTTTTGAGAAAAAAGATAAAAGGCTTTATGTTACTATATTAAAAAGAACTATTATTAGTAGTATACACACACTATTATTATTACTATCTCTGTAAATTCTTAGACATTATTTTCATGTATCTTATGTACTTAATTTGTGGTTCGCGTCAACGTTTATTTTTTGATTTTACATTTGTTCCTTTATATGAATCAATGAATAAATTTATAAATCTTAATATGCTTAATTAAGAATTTTTTTTTTTTTAATATGCTTTAGTTTGTGAATCTAAGCATGTCATATATTTTCCTTTTTCTTTGTTTTTTGGTCTCTTCCAAAATATTACCAAAACATTTTCAAATCCATATTTTTGCTCTCTGAAACAAAACATGAAAAGAAAATTTTAATCATTGACAATAAGCAAATGCATATCACATTCTCAAACATTAGATTGTGGAGAAAAAAGAATTATGTGATGAGCACATCAGTTCTAGTAAGTGAAAACATGACATACCCTTTCTAGGCGTTGAAGAAGGGCAGTTTTGAATTGGCGAACTCCACGTCCACTTGATGTTGGATCTAGTCTGTGAGCTTTCTCAAACGCATAGAACCGACCTGATCCGAGCAAAGGCATCAATATGCATCAGGCTTAGAATGAATCAAAGTTCAAAAATACCATTGCATTTTTGTGAGAACAAAACTATAGCATAAATAAGATTATTAACACAAATTATTATATTGGGTTATAATTGGCATGCAGGGGAGCGAAGAAGGTAGTCAAGCTCAGCAACAACAAAGACAAAAGCCATTTATCTCATACCAAAACACATAAACCAGCAAAGGATGCATGAGTTAAAAGGAATATACACAAAGAAAGAGGAGATATTCTTAACCATTGCCATCATTTGAACCCAACGGAGGTTGACTAAAATACTGGACCAAATAACAAACCATGCAAGACGTGGTTTTAATGTGTGTAAGTTTGTTCGGGAAATGGGATGGGAGGGGGTTGCGAAAATGGTGAATAATAAAGAAATAGTGTTAGGATCATCTCCTTGGATGTTTCAATCATCATTCCATTGCCAAACAAAACAATCAACACCAAAGAACAAAAATCCTAGACAAATGTGTTAAAGATAACATCAATAGAAATGTCCTTGTTAAAGTCCTGAATCTTCTCTAAGAAAAACTTCATATACCACACTTACACTTGATCCCAATTTGAGGACTTTCTAATCATGAACCAAACGATGTAGTTGTGAGATTCTTAAGCAACTAATCTATGTTTAATGTCATCGCCCGTTTCTCCATGACTAGTAAAATACTTATCTACATTTGTACGAATGAAAAGATAAAAGAACGAACAAATTGAAGTGAAACCCACATTTTGACACAAGCAACACCAATTTCCACAAAATAACAACATTAAGTGTTGCTATCCCATATTATAGCCACAAATAACTGCATTAAAGTCTAGTATGAGTATGTATTCAGTAACAGTACTATATGCACAGAATTAAAACACAGAAAATCGGCATATTGACATATTGCATGTGTAGTTTAAATTTATCTTAAGTATGGCCCAACACTTTACATATAAGCTCTTAAATTAAAACTAATAATCTAATAGGTTGGAGAACTGAATTGTCCCTGCGTGCGCGCGCACACACTATATGCATAAGCACTTAAAATTTAAAAGTCAGATATGAAGTAGATAAGTGAAATTGGAACTTACAGAGATAAGCCACCCTGGGATTGCTTGGCTCGACTTCGTTAGCGACCCGGAGAATCGGAGCAATCTCCACCAGTGAAGATGGCACCACCTCACTATCCATCATAGTCTCTCCTAAATTACCGGCGGTCTGCGTCCTCAGAATCCGCCTCGGCGGTTGCTGATCAGACCCCCTTCTATTGAAAGACATTTCTTCCTTAAACCCTTCACACAATAACTTAAAGATCCCACTAATTTACCTGTCAAACCATCAAAATTCCAATATAACCATGTAACCAAACACTTGTATTCCACTGAAACCATAAACCCTCTTCCTTTTTTTCAAAACTGAGCAGCAGATCAAACAAAAACAGGGAATCTTACAACAGATTACATGTTTTCTTTCCTTTTCTTTTCTTTTCTTTTCTCAGCAATCAAACAGAGTTAATAGAAAATTAACACACACACACACACACACACACACAAAATAAAATAAAATAGAAGTAAGAAATCAGGAAATCAGAGTAGAGGAGTTACCAGATGAGTATAGATCAGTGAAAAGATTCGGATAACATCAGAATGACTATTACATCGTGCGAGAAATCAATTCCGCTTTCTATTATCAGAGAGAAACTAGAAAGAAGAGTCGTAACAATACAAGAGGCTTAAAGCATCAGTTGCCCGCAGAGAGTGAAAAACTGCAAATACTACAGAGAGAGAGAGAGAGAGAGAGATAGAGAGATAGAGTAGGGGAGGTGGTGCTTGAGACAGAGCCTACCTAACAGACAGGCATGAAGTAAGCACGCAACGCGGGTACGAGCTGACATATAAAATTCGACAAATATACCAACGCCTCGTTTTGGGAGTAAAATCAAAAAATTACTATAAGTTATCACATTACCTTTTTTATTTTTTTACATATTTTTTTGTTAAAAGTCAAAATATTACTAAAATAGTTTATTTCCAAATGAAGCCTAAGTTGATGTTTGGAAAATTGTTATTTTAATAGATTATTTTAATTTTTGATTATTTTAATAAATTAAATTTTTTGTGTCAAAAAAATAGTTAGATTTTTTATAATTGGATGTGATATTTGTAAAAAAAATAACATGATTATAGATTTAATATGACATTTTATCTTATTAAATATTTTAATTTATTTTGTTTTTTTATAAATTTTAACCTAAAAAATCAAAAATAACATTTGTCAAATTGCTTAGTTTTTTTGGCTTAATTCATTTCAGTTATATTTTTATTGAGCCCTGCTAAATACCCCCAGTGGGGATCGCACCCCCAGTGAGGTGGCGCGCCCCCACTGGCTGACAACCAAAAAAATAATAATAATTTTTTTCGCCTAATCACGGGCCTTCACCTCACTGAGGTCGACCCCCAGTGGGGTATAAAGCATTTTTGATTTTTATTATAACGGTAATTTTGTAATTTTGTAAATCATCCATATAATTAGGTAATAGAGTAAATACTTCTGCATTTAGAGTATTTCTATCTGTATATCACAAAAAAAATTAATGCACCTTATTTATATGATTTGTGTATAAATTTTTTACTAAAAATTAAATATTCAGATATAAACTTATAAATTATTTAAAATATATATATATATATATAAAGTAATTGTTTAAAAATAATTGTAAATATATATACAAAGTAATGAAAAAAAGTAATTGTTCTGACGTATAGTTAAACGGAATATATGTTTAAATCTGAATATTTATATTTCATTTAAAAATTTATATTTAAATAAAATAAATGATGTCTATTAAAATTTATTGTGACGTGGTAATAGATTTTTTTTTAAAAAAAAATTAGAATAATATTAGAGATTTTAAAAATTTTATTAAAATTTCTATTAAACATCTCATATGGATGTAGAACCCACACTATGTGAGTCTTATGTGGATCTCATTATATCTCTAATATTTAAAAAAAAAAAGAATAAAAATAGAATAGAGGAAAATGAGTAAGCTTGGTCACTACGCGAAGACGTAAACATGAATAAAAAAAGAAGACCTAAACAAGTATGCAAAGTTGAAATGTCAACATAAGCGGTACCATGGAAGGTTGGTGTCCCGCCCGGGTAATAATCACTCTTATTGTTGACTGAAAAATAATAATAATAAGGGTAAATTATAAATATATCTCTTAAAGTTTGTTTAAAATATATATTATTTTTTGTAATTTAAAAAATTATAAATATTTTTTATTAAAATTTTTTATTTTAACATAATTAACTAAAAAAATGAAATTCATAATTGTTCTCTTAAATAATAATAAAATTACCTAAATTATTAATTGAAATATATTTTTAACATCATTAAAAACTGTTAATTGACTTAAAGATTTATTAATAAAATGGATAATTTATTATGAAATTAGAAATATCAATTTTCAAAATTACATGAGGCAATTCGTATTTTAATCAAATCTCAGGAGGTGTATTTATAATTTATCCTTTGAGAAATTAGATGAAGTAAAAGTGCTACTCAGACAGTGAGTGGTTAGGGAGGAATTTAGAAAAGAAATAGAAAAGTGGTGTGAAATATAATTATATTTCATTTATACTTTACCTACTTTTTATTTTTTTCCTTTTCAAATCTCTCACATATTTTATAAACCAAACACAACCTCAATGAGTACCAAAAAAAAAAATTTAAAAGAGTGAAGAAATGAATGAAAGCAAGTTGAATGGTTGAGATGAGAATAATCTGAGTTTTTCTTCCTATTGCCTATTATTTTGTTTGATAGATGGGAGGCAATATTTTGAGGATCATTTATGAGAATGACAACTTTTTGGCATTACTTTACACATAGTACATCCAATCACATTTCTATTTGTTTTTGTTTTTTTGAGGAAAATGCAGAATATATTTACCTTCATTTCATTTTCGATATATGTCAACATAAAACAAGAAAGGGTTGGCCTACCAAACATCAATTATACAAATAACAAACACGATAATAGTTTATTATTCGTCTTGTTTTGGAGTTTCTTTTTCAACTATGGTACCCCTTAAATACAAAGCAACAATTTTGTAAGGTCCCCTACAATGCAAATTTAAAGGTTAATTGAAAATTGAGATATGATCATGTGTATAGTTTCAGTCATATTTTAAAATGTATTGGTCAACTAATATTAATTTCAACAGTTCGAAGCCGTAACTAAGAAATAATACATATATTAAGACCTCGTTTGACAAGTGTTCCTTTTAGCGAAAAAGTTAAAAAGTTATTAAAAAAATAAAAAAGTCAATAATTCATATCAAAAAGTCAAAAATTATATTTTCTCTCTACTTTTTACATAGCTTTTGGTAAAAAGTCAAAAAATCATCTCAAACATACTAATTTTTTTTACATCACATTTTAACTAAAAAATTAAAAAGTTATTAAAAAAACATATTCCCAAACGAGGCCTAAGTAGTACAAGATGTATTCAGGATTTACTATATAACAGCAAACCTAATGTGGCACTTGTTAGTATAAAAAAAGAAGTCGATATGACTAGAACATTTAGGTCAACTTTGGGAAGTCTCAAATAATTCATCTTTTTATCTTTTTATCTTTTTTTCATCACATCACCTTTTTATTTTTCTACACATCTTTTCGTAAAAAGACAAAAAATACACTTATTTAGGTCATCCCAAACAACCCCTTATAATCATGTCTGTACATTTGAGCAACTTAACAAATTCTCAATTTTTGATTAATTTCATCACTAAATCCCACTATTCATAAAAGATCAACACGAATCTTATTTTTAAGTATTTTTCCCATCTAAACTTGAATTCTCTAAGAATAAAAATAAAAAATAAACAAGAAATATTAATTTGGTTTCCTACTTGTTTCCATATAGATTATTAAAGAAATATTAGTTTTTCTTCTTCTGGTTGATATCAAGGTTGAAAAACTGATTGCATTATGAGATTATCACTTATGAGCTGAATTGGACCGTGGTAAAGGCAGGGGAAATTGTGGGCCATGGTAATAGCCTGGTAAATTGTGGACCAAACACAATTGGGCCGTGGTAGCTTGGGCCTATCCGGAAGGGTTTTGCTTGGTTAAGGCACAGGGCATGTGGGACCGAGCTACTTGGCTTGTTGGTGCAGAAGCCGGTCTACTGGGAGTTCGGCTGAGATATCTGCCTGTCTGCATGGGTTCCACGGTTCATGCGTTAGCTCGGCAGGAAGACCGACGGCTAATCGATTCAACCTACCTCGAGCTCGGCTTGGCGGAATGCAGCCGAGTTCGGTTGTACAAGAGCTCGGCGAATGGTTCATTAAGGTATGCCGCGCAGCGTGGTCAGGAGAAACCGAGGAGGTTCCGCCGGTCTGCCGAGCTCCGCCGAGGTATCCTAACAGTTTGGTTAGGTGGTGATTGCTGGATTTGTGCTGACAGATGGGATAGCAGCACCACGTGTCGAGAGACTAATGAGAGTAGATTTGGGACGCAGAAGGTATATAAGTGTGTCTGCGCCCCTCATGCTTGGACGGATGATCATTTGGTGAGATATACTTAGACATTCAACTCTCTCATCTCTCTCTCTATCCCTGAGTGTGTGCTAACGTGGCCGTCGGAGGGGTTTTTCGGCCACACACTGCCGGGTAGCTCACTGTCGTTGTGTTCGCAGGTCGATCGGACAGACAGGGAGCTTGGAAGAAAGGAGTACGGGCT